GCTGCAGCGCGAGGAAGGCGGAGCCAGGCGGCAGCGGCCGCGGCCTGGCTCTGCCGCAATCAGCACACGGGGACGCGGGCTGGTTACCAAGCAGCCTTTACTCGGGGGAGCCTTTCAGGTTACCCGTCTGACGGCTCGGTACTCGAAAGGATGCGCAGGTTATTACCGACACCGCCAGCCCAAAGCGCAGGCCGCCGGAGCTCTGTACTCCCGCCGGCACCGGGCAGAGAAGCGGGGTCTCGCCCCTCCCTACACGTGCCAGTAGATTGCTACAGTACAATACTGTATCTGAACTATTAAAAGGCGTGTTATTAATTATAAAAAGCAATTACAGGGGGATTGCTTAGAATGATTTAGAACCCAACGCCTGAAGCGAAAATCAAACAGATTCCCTGCACAAAAGTCTTAAACACCCAAGTGTTAGCCTTCATTTGCACCACACCAAAAAGCTTACCTGGAATTGTGGCAAAATATATAGAGAGGGAGGAAAATATCAAGCACAGAGCAACAGGAGACCATCATCGCTCAGTATATGAGAGGGGAGGATGCAGTCTAAGAGCCGGACCCTTTTAGTAAGGTAGACCTTGTTGGTTTTACTTCTCAGGTTTATCCAAGTCATACCTTCCCTCTTTACAACACATGCCAAAAACTCCTTCAGAACTCCTACAACTTAATTTTCAACTGAAAATTAAGACAGTCTGACAGCACCGGTTTTAAACGTGAAACAAAACCCAAAGTGTTCCTGTGTTGCAAAACAATCTCTCAACTTCAGTAACTAAGATCCAATATGCTGCAATTGTTATTTTCATCCTAACTGACTAAAGGTACCACAACTTAGGGTTTTCTTCCCTTTTTGCGCAGGGACTGGCCTTCTCCTGAAAAGGCAATAAACCGGCTTCCAGATTCATCCTGGAAAAAGGAAGAGGGAAAAAAGGTTGTTACCTCTTTGCTCACTGCTCATGTGTGATGAAGGCTGAACGATCAATTAGAAAGAACATTCATCAGAGCAGCAACTGACTGTAGACATTTCACATCCTTAATCTACATAATAACCACTTTCTTCCTGAAAATAAAATACGAGCATTTCAGTGACCTTTCAGCCAACTGAAACAAGTATGCACTGGCTTATTAAACTTATATCAGGCCAATCTTTTTACATCAGCAAACAAGGACATCAGAGGTTGCTTTCACCTAACTCAAACCACTTTTTAACTACTATCACTTTTTAACAGAAGCGTGCTATGAAAAATCTAGTGTGGAGAGAGGAACCACAAACTCAGACAGTAGTTCTAATGTTCTAATTCTGTGCAAAATTGGGAAAGATCCGAATTTATTTACCTCTTCAACTTTCTTAACTAGTGGACGTGAGTTTCTAATGAATGTGATTCTACCGATCTTGAAGTCATAGTTGGGTATTCCTCTGGAAAAGAAGCATAAAAACGTTATGAAGGAAGTTTTATACCTAGCATCCAATTGAACACAGCGAGACCTATTCTGTCAGTATTGTACCAACACTGGCTGCAAATTTTCATTACCAAATAATTCTAGAGTTAAACTACTGAATTATTTTCTGAAGGTGGGCATACATTGCATGAGGTAAATAATCAGACACTGGAGCTCCTGTAGGAGTTTGCCTGTGGGCACGTTTCCATGTAGCCTGTGGTTTCCACAGGGCCATGGACACATTTATTCAGAAGGGTTCAAGTTTTATTGTGACAGGCATAATGACAGAACACTACAGGAACCGCATCCCTGCACACTTCCACTAAGTCTGAATTTTCTAAACTTCCTTCTAAGAAAAAAAACCCCAAAACCAAAAAACATACACAAAACCACACATGGCTTGTCTTTGGTTATCCATCCAACTCAAAAAAGATTTCACTCTACAGCAAATTTGACTTCAGAAAATTGGCAGGGTTCTGTGCATCGCTCAATCCAGCCCACCAGCCCAGTCTAGACCTGCTGCCTCTCCCTGCTTGTCTTCTATAGAACCAGAGTTGATTGAGTTTTGGCAACCTTAAAATGCAGATCCTAAGTTAAGTAGTCAGGGAAGTCACAGTCATTCTAGAAGATCAGACTACTTATTTTCTCAATGCAAACTTATGAGGAAATTAACTTGTTTATATTGCAGGAGCAGGAAAAAAAAAAAAAAAAACCCAAACAACTCTGCTCAAACACTGATCCTTCACTTGCTGACAACTGAATGAAACAGACATACCTTCGAATGTCTCCTGGTTTAATTGGTGATGGACTAGGCTCAACACCTTTCTTCTTGCCATCCAATCTGTTCCCGGAACCAGAGAATGCCTATGTATACATAATGAGTTTCAATTTAATCATATCTTGTATTTGAAAGCATACTGCACAGGGATACTATATTCTGTAAAATCTTACTATACTTTTTATTTAATTATTTGATTCAGCATGTTTCTTTTTGGTACATATAAGCTGATGAACCCTGGCTGTAGAAGTATGTTTCGGTCTCCCATTTATAGACTGCCTTTTTAAGGACAGCAAGTCATACTGTTACTGGCTGCAAGCACCACAAAACATTTGTAGATACTTGCCAGTTAAATGAAGAGCACCTATAAGAACAGGTATTAGTATTTCACAGTTGTTTGGAACAACTTTCCCTCACCATTTGACAACATTCAGAAACCAGCAGAAATAGGAGACTTACACGAAATCCTATGTCACTCACATACCCGCTGTGGTCTGCTTCAACATCCTGTGAGGGAAAAAACAAGTTCGTTCATTGTATTCATGCTGTGATATGCAGAACACATGAAAACAGTTCCAGATATTTCTGACCAAACAAAACTTCAGAACAATCTCTTTCCAAAATCTTCAGTTGGTAAACAACCATGTCCTAAGCAACACAAGCAAAAACATCTGGCAAGTAAAGTTTAGTCTTAAGAAATTATTTCAGGAAAAAGAAAAATTACGTTGGCCCTTGCTGCTCCATCACAAGCAAGGCTGACTTCTAGGGAATACACTTTTGAAGAACAGAAGCTTAACCTACTGTGGTCTCTTCATGTTGTGCACTTCTTTCTGGTTCTTTGTACCCCAAAGGAGCATCAAAATCCACCTATTTACACAAGAAGCATGAAAATAGCATGATTGATACTTTTCTTTTAATCATAAGCTTTATACTACTGTTCCTCAAAACTCCACAAACTATAATTCCACTTCGATCTAGAAAGAACTGAAGTTTGCTTGTTAAACATTTTAACTTAGAACTAAAAAGGCTAAGCCTCCCAGGAATGAGTCTTAGCATGTAATTGAAACAGAACGGTAAAACAGCACCCCACAATATCACTAGAGTTTGAATTAAGACAAAGCTGTTAAACGAAACTCAGATTATAAAACACATTGAAACTAGACATTAAATTCTAGGCACTACAGTCACCTGATGGTACATGAAGTGCAGCTCGAGACTGCAGATGTGGTTACAAAGGTACACAGCGTACTCTCAAATGAGTCATCTTCCCTATCCCATCTGATTTTACCTTTCCTGCAGCATCAGAGGTGCTTGGTGTACAGCGCTATCACTGAACGAGATGCCCTCTCCTTTTGGGAGGACACAGTAAAAGCAGACTTTCCACATCAGCTTTAACTTACATTCATATCACATTCTATGATGGACACAGCCTTATCTGGTTTGGTCTCCATTACCCGAAGCTCATAGATCTGAAACAGTAATGAGTATTTTAAGATTGCACATGAAAGAGCTCAGCTTAAACATAAGAAAAGCGTATCTAAACCTTTCCCTTCAGACAGCTTCAAGAAAATTGAAGTAAGTGCTCTTTACGTTGAGGCCTGGATACTGCAGGGTCTCTACAGAACTTGAGAGTAAAGATTTTTAACATAGAAGATTGCTATATGCTGGAGCTAGAGAACCTCCCTTTTACTGTACCTTGCTGCACTCTTACTGTACCTTAATCTGCATTTTTGAAAACAAGTTATGAAATTAGGGTAATTCTGTCCCTTGACTGGTAAAAACATCAACAGCACAAAAACTAATTTTCTCATGAGTCAAAAAACAGTCTAAACAGCAGCTCAGAAGACTTAACTGACCCCTTTTTTCCCTCCAATAGAAAACTGATTGTGAAACCTACCATCTGGGATTACTTGTCAACAACACTGCACAGCTCTGTGTTTATTGTTTTAGCACCAACATCCAACAACTGAGCTTAGTCTACAAACCCAAGTGATCAAATGTACTGCCAAAAATACTCATCTATAAAATCTATTCACAAGATGTAGTCAAAGTACTTATGTAGTCACAATCTACTGAAATACAGCGTACTTTTCTATACAGTGCAGAATTTACTTCCTCAGACTAGCGATATCCAAACAAAACTTGCATGGACTGGTGTTGTATACTGTACCTTTTCATTGTAGTTGATGGCAATAACGTCCCCAGTTGTTAGACAAGCGAAGTTTCTCAATGCATTTTCTAATCTTTGGAGTATGTTAAGATGAAACATTTGTTTTCAATGCAACAGCAAAGCTTTAAAGTTACTATGTTATAAATCTCTGATCCTTGGTCTCTCAAACGTGGTTTAAAAGTCATCTGTACTGTAGATAGCCTTTTAGTAAAAATTAGGGTGTACAAGTTCTTCTCAGGGACACTCAAATTCATTGGACTTTAAGCCAAGATTCATGCTTCTTCACTCCAGCTACCCTTTGTGCCAGCAGTTGGCAACATCTCTGTACATAAGCTCTCCATCCTTTTTGTGTTCAGAAGGAGCAGTAGTAGTTGCCTAAAAGAGTATGAGCCACACCTGAAAAGCTAGCTCTGCTTCATCATTCCAATTTGGGAGAAAACTTTTGTCCCCTGCTCCATAATTGAATAGGAAGGATACACAGCTTTGGGATTGGTGATGTCAAGAAAATCTGGACTTTGTGGCTGAAATTTTGAGTAAGTAGCAACTTGAAGATTAACACTCTCCACTTGCACCAAGCCTCCCTCTTCCAGCAGCAAGTTCTGCATCATCTACAAGAATGAAAACAAAGATACAAACCACTACCAACATGACTGGTTTTAAATTCTCTTTCCTTGCATATACCTGTTTTCTCTGGGGCCGCCGTATTCCTTGAAATGCACCAGTTTACCATGGTTTAATTTCAGGAAGAGCAGTCAGGTGCATCTTAAAAAGCAGTCTGCTTTGCTTACTTAGTTACACTCTCATGGAGGGAAACCTGAGCTGCGACTGAAAGCTGTTGTAGGAACATGACTAGCAAAGACACGCTCCTTCAGGAAACACTCCGCCTCTTTAATATTAAACTGGCAACTCGCTAATCCTACTCTTCAGGTTTTGACAGTTCAGCATGAGACAACTCACCCAGTGTGGAAGGTAGCATATGCCCTCATCAGCCACAAATTCAAGCACTCCACAGTGTGTCATTCGGTCTGAATTTTTATTAGTCAGCTTAAACAACATAGGGTAAGTAATATTAAGTCGGCCTGGTAAGAAAGGAGGAAAAAAAAAAATTTAGTTGTTAAAAGCCACTAACACATTTCTGAAGCTTTCAAAGATTGAATATTAGCCAGAGAATGGGCCAGACAATAGGAGAGGATTCCCCTCACACCATTATTTCAATTGCCCAAAACTACAAATCCAGGAGAGAATGCAGATACACGAATACTATATTGCCATCACACTTAGAACTTTAAATGCCTCTCCAACATTTCCCCAAGCTCAGAGATGAGCAGGCAGCAGGTATTAGCAGAGGAATCTACTACTGTTATGTCCTTGTGCTATTATAAATTAGCTCCTACCTAATGAATTTTAATAGGCCCTGCCTATTTTAAAATTAAATCCTGACTAAACTAATTTCTCAAAGAAATTCTATAAAGGCTAAAATTCGGGGGGGGTACGACACACACACGACACCCTTAGTTAAAAAGGCCAATAAAGACCATTTATACAACTGATTCAGTTATCTTTTTCCCCATTTCAAAGCTAATTATCACTTATTTTGTCTCTGAAATAAATTTTGCTCCAGACAACAGCATCCAGGACAAGCAGGTTGAGATTAAGAATTTACTAGATTAAAAATTTACTGGATTAAATGTAACCATTATATTGAGTATGCTATTAATAGTTAATAAATATTGATTCATGCCTCAGGTAGCCCAACACTTCAGATGTCTGTACTTGAAGACAGACAAGCCTCATTAATTCGAACAGACAAAATACTTCCAAAATACATTTTTTGAACTAATTAGTCTCATATTCTCTATTTAAGTCAGATTCTAATAGATAACTGAAATACTGCTGTTAGATAGATAACTAACTGCAGTTAGTTAGATAACTAAAATAGTGTTAAAATATGCATTTGCTCATATTTCTAATGTTGTTATTCCAGAATAAAATATCCACTTACTGAGTTGATCCAAAGCTGATGGTGGCATAATTACTGCGGAAATGAGTAAGAATGTAAGATTAGGAAAAGTATGACTGTACAAAGAGTACATAACATACAGTTTTATCATTCCTTTCTGTAAAATCTCCTCTAAAAAAAAGGAGATTCTAAAATCTCCTGCAAATTCATTTTTGAGCCAGAGATTTCAGTAGAATCAGTCACAACAAACATACCTGCTAGCATGGAGATTTCAGAATTTAATCAAAGAAAAAGAGAAGACAAGGTTTCACAATACCTAGTACTAAGGAAAATGTTTCCTAAAGGTAGTTTTATTTCTTTGGGCTTATAGGTGCTCTTAAATCGATGCCAACTCAAAAACAACATAGCATTAGTATGACAGCCTGAAAATTAAGTTGCCCGGTCTATTCTCTTTGTTCAAGCTAAGTGAGGTACAACAAGGAAGGGAAAAAAGTCCTTAATCATAAATTTCCATGGCTCATAATGGGCCTAAGGTTTTAACAAGAGACTTTAAAGAAGAACGTCTCCTTCTAATGCTCATAAACCAGGACTCGCTCAGTAAGTTTTCTAATTACAGCCTACTGGGATAAACCCCTCCTTCTTCCGTCTTAAAGCCCCACCCAGGGCGCTCTGCTAGCTCCAGTCCCAATGCCAACAACAGGACGTCTCCACGCTGCTCAACAATGTTTCTGCAGTCTTGGCCAAAAGCTGTATTACTCGACATTATTCACAAACACCCTTCCACCAGGTTATTAGTCGAAATAAAACATGCACATACTCTTCCCGCCTTTCTCCACATCTGACCTGTCATTAGGTCCAGCAAGCATGGATACCGAGAAGCAGCGGTATTGGGTTGAGAAGCGGTTCTGGAAAACCCGAGGGATGGGGTGATCAAACATATTAAAAGAGAACTAGGAAAAAAAAAAACAACAAACAAACAGAAAGAGTTTATTAATAGGTATCTAGAGCATGCTGAAGTGCCACAGCACTCAGTGAAGCCTCCTGGAGGCTAGCTAAAGCTACACCCAAGAGCCGTACGGCCGCTCTCCCCGCCGACTGAGGCCGCCTCTTTCCGCGCAGCTTGCGCGCTGC